CATGGCTCCCTCATGGCTCCCTCATGGCTCCCTCATGCCTCCCTCGTGGCTCCCTCATGGCTCCCTCATGGATCCCTCATGTCTCCCTCATGGCGTCCTCTTGGCTCCGTCATGGCTCCCTCGTGGATCCCTCATGGCTCCCTACGGCTCCCTCATGGCTCTTTCACGGGAAGGCACAGGAGCAGGAGCAGGAGGAGGGGCAGAAGCAGGAGCCGGCGCGCATGCGACCGCACCGCGCGCTTGCAGCGGCCCTCGCCCGACTCCTGCGCGAGTGCCGTGCGGAAATTGACATCGAGCGCACGGTGCCAAAGCTCCTCCGCGTGCTGCCGAACGGGGCCGTCCAGGAGGCCGTCCTGGATCTTGTCGTCACGTTCCCGGGCTTTGTTCAGCCCCTGTATATCGACGTGTCGATCCGCTGCCCGCACGCGGCGCGCTATGCGCAGGCGCAGGCGAGCCCGGGCGACGCCGCCAACGCTGCCGTGGACGACAAGAGGCGGCGGTACGGGAGCGACGTGCTCACCGTCGCCCTGGAGTCATACGGGCGGCTTTCTGCCGGGATCCACCGGTCGCTGGAGCACCTCGCCACGCACGCTGCTGCATCCCTGCGGGACCAGTGGGCTGCGCCCAGGCTGGTGCCGCGCTGGAAGGCTGCCCTGGAGCGCGCGGTCGCCTTCGCAGCAGCGGACATCGACCTGCTCTCGCTGGGCGCAGCCCCCGCCGCCCAGCAGACGCGGGTGATGTACGGCCGCGTTGCTAGCGCCTGGTGGTCGTAGTGTTTGTTGCATGTGGAGTGTGTGTCGTGTCTCGGCTGTGCCTTAGCATGAGCAGGAGCTGGAAGAGGAGGAAGACGAGGAGGGGGAGGAGGGGGAGGAGGAGGAGGAGGATGAGGAGGAGGAGGAGGAGGAGGCTGATGATGAGGCTCATGATGTGGCTTTTTGCCGGCGCAAACCAAACGCAATCCAGTAAAACAGACACAGGCAATTTCATACTTCTAATAGCTTTCGCTCAATTTGCGCACTCTGCGACATCTTTTTTCCTTACCACTTTCCGAATTCACAGATCGCAGAATGCGATACCTCTTCGGCCACATGTGGAACAGCTCAGCCCCACTCAGATGAGACATGATACAGTGACGCCCATCATACACATCCTAGGGGGCACCCTACAACGGGATTTCCCTTGCCATCCCACACGAGGCCGACGCCGACGTTCTGTCTTGATGGGGCAGCCTGCGTATTCTGGCGCCCTTGCCCGCCCTCCCTCCACGAAGTTCCGCAGTGCTTTATCGGCTTAAGCTGTTTCATCGCACGCGCGTTTCGCGCCGCGAGTGAGAACGTGATCCTCCCCGAGACCCTCTGCGAGACTCTTGGGGGCCCCGTTGGGGGCGAGAGCATCAACTTCGGCGAAGCCCTCGCGCACTCCGATGGCGTGAAGCCCCACTTCCACGCTGGCCTCCCGCACGGCCGCGTCTTGCAAGAGGGGATGTCGAAAATCGCGGACCTTCTTGCTGCGCCCGTGAACGTCCATAGGCGTGCGTGGAGCAGGCTTATCGCAGAGCTCCAGTGTCGGAAGGTTGCGTCCAAGGGGCGCGCGCTGGGCGGCGGTCGCGCGTGCTCGGTGGCCACGAAGACCTTCTTGCAGCACGTGGCCAAGGTGTGCGCGCAGGGGGAACTGTGGGCTGACCTCGGTTTCGCGCCCCCGATGCGGTTTTCGGCCGCATTGCGTGTTGCGTGCGCCATCGAACATGAGACCGACGCGCCGTGCTTTCGCGTCCTCTCGCCCCCCCCTCGCCCTCGTAGAGCTAGCTCAAGAGCTAATCTCAAACACGCAGGGGGCGGTTCTGCGCCCTGAGCCCGCGCGCGGCCGACGAACCTTCGGCGGCGCTCCCCGTGAGGCCGCGATCCTCTTGAGGGTGTGCCGAAAAAGCGTGGGTCGGACGCGTGCGGCCGACGTTTGGGCCCGACGCCGCATGGCGGTTTGGAAATACCTGCGACAGCTGCTGATTTTGTCAGCGGTCCAGGGCCGCAGGACTCGCGCGCCTCGCGCTGGTAACTTTGGGAAATGAACCTCTGATCCGGTTTTAGGGTCAGCTGCGCCAGTTTCTGGGCCCTGCATTACGTGCGCAAAGCATGGTCGTGCTCCTTCTCCCTCTTTTTCTCGCTTTCTCCCTCTCTCGTCGCTCCTCCCCGCTCCTTTGTCCCTTCTCCGCGCCGCTTCCTTTTTTCCTGCTGCTGCTCATGCTCTTCTTCCTGCGTTCACCTATCTGTTTCCCTCGGCCGACTATAGATCCCATGACGCTTCGTGTGGCACGTTAGTTCTTGCGCTGAAGAGTTGGCTCGCGAATTTGGTTGCTGGGGTCGCGTCCGTCTGTTCATTCCCCCTCCAACTTCGCGGCGAGATGAACACCCCCGTGGGGGCGGCGCCGAGGAAGTGTCTGGTGGACACCGGCAGCTCGGATTTGTGGCTGCCGTCCAAGCGGTGCGAGAGGTGCAACAACCAGGACAGGCGTATGGCCACGTGCCGCCATCCCCATTCTTTGTTTTGCTGGCGACGATGATGTTGAGGATGAGGACGGCGATGCTGACGACGATGTGGATGCCCATGGCGATGGCGGCGGCACGGCTGATGATTTTGTTGTTGTAATTGACGATGACGACGGTATTGAGACCAACTATGGCCATGGCGATGACGATGGCGATGGTGTTATTGATGGTGGTGGTGGTGCTGGTTTTGCTTCTGGTGCTGATGGTGAGGATACGGCTGGGACGGTGTTGATGATGATGCGGATGCTGCAGATGATGATATCGATGCTGATGGGGACGGTGACGATGACGACGGTCCACATGATGATGATTGGTGGTGGTGATGCTGCTGACGATGAGGACGACGGTGCCGACGATGATGATGACGCTTGTGATTGTGGTGGTGATGATAGTGATAAAGATGATGTCGATGTTGTTGATGGTCATTGCGATTGTGAGGAGGATACTGTTGCGGATGCTAATGTTGTGCATGACGGTGGTAATGATGGTGATGAGGGTGAGGCTTATGATGATGACGATGACGATGATGATTATGACGATGATGGTGGTGCTGATGCTGATGGTGGTGCTTATTCTGATGATGACAATGACGATGACGACGGCGATTGTGAACCTGATGTTGATGATACTGACTATGATGATGCTGATTATGAAGGTGCTGCTGATGATGATGTCGATGCTGATTATCATTATGATGCTGATGCTGATGCTGATGGTGATTATGGTGATGATGGTGATGCTGGTGATGATGATGCTGGTGATGATGATGACGATGATGCCGAAGCCGATGCTGCTGCTGATGAATGTGGTGATGATGGTGAGGATGGTGTCGATGCTGCTGGCGGCGATGATGCTGCTGGTGATGCTGATACTAATAATGCTGATGATGCGGATGATGAGGGTGATGGTGAGGTTGTTGATGGTGATGCTGGTGTTGTTGTTGATGGTGATGATGACGATGATGATGTTGCCGATGACGCTGATTCTGATGCTGCTGATGAGGATGAGGACGCTGAGGATGGGGCTTATGGTGTGAAAGACGACGTTGGTGCTGATGATGCCAATGGCGAAGCTGTTGCTGCAGCTGGTAGGGCCGAGGATGATGGTGACGTTTAAGATGCAGAGGCTGATACTGCTGATGATGATGGAGATGATGATGCTGATGATGATGATGATGATGGTGGTGGTGATGATGATGATACTGATGATGATGCTGATGCTGATGATGCTGCTGATGTTGATGATGATGTTAATGATGATTATGCTGATGCTGATGCTGAGGCTGATGGTGATTGCACTATTGATGCTGCCGCTGATGATGATGCTGATGCTGCTGCTGAGGTTGATGATGTTGATGTTGGTGGCGATGATGATGCTGGTGATGGTGGTGATGATCATGATGCTGATACTCATGATGCTGATGCTGATGCTGCTGATGCTGCTGATGCTGATGATGATGGTGGTGGTTGTGATGATGATGTTGATGATGCTGATGATGATGATGATGATGCTGATGCTGCTGCTGATGCTGATGGTCGTGGCGATGCGGAGGATGAGCATGAGGAGGATGATGAGGAGGATGATGCTGAGGTTTTGGGCGATTACGACGACGAGGACGCGTATGAAGATGCTGATGGTGCTGCTGATGATGAATGTTTTGCTGCTGCCGACGATGATGTTCATGATGCTGAGGATGACGATGATGTTGATGATGATGATGCTGATTGTGATGATGCTGCTGATGATGATTCTGATGCTGATGGGATTGATGATACTACTGATGACGATGGCGATGATGATGATGGACGGCGTTGCTGCTGCGGATTATGATACTGATGCTGATGCTGGTGATGATGCTGTCGATGATGATGATGATAATGCTGATGCTGATGACCATTATGCTGATGCATATGATGATGCTGACGCTGCTGATGATGCCGCTCCTGATGATGGTGATGGTGATCATGATGGTGATGATGCTGCTGATGCTGACGGTGATGCTGATGTTGTTGATGCTGCGGATGCTGCTGATGCTGATGGTCATGATGGTGATGATGCTGATGATGATGATGCCGCTGCTGATGATGGATATTATGATGACGCTGCTGCTGATGATGATGCTGTTGCTGATGACGCTGGTGATGACGATGATGATGATGATGATGATGATGATGCTGATACTGATACTGATACTGATGCTGATGATGATGATGATGATGCTGACGATGATGCTGATGGTGATGCTGCTGCTGATGATGGTGATGATGATGATGCTGATGCTGATGTTGATGCTGGTGCTGATGCTGATGCTGATGCTGCTGATGATGATGCTGATGATGATGCTGATGATGATGATGATGAGGATGAGGATGAGGATGAGGATGATGATGATGATGATGATGATGATGATGATGATGATGTGATGATGATGATGATGCTGATGCTGATGCTGATGCTGATGATGATGATGATGATGATGATGATGATGATGATGATGATGATGATGATGATGATGGTGCTCACGATGCTGACGTGGCTGTTGCGGTTGTTGAGGATTGTGGTCAATTTCGATGTAGTACGTCGGAGGATGATGAGGGGAGGCAGGATGCGCGGATGGGGAGGATTCGGAAGACATTTTGAGGGGGAGGAGCAGGAGGTGTTGGAGGAGGCAGGACTTTGAGGAAGAACGCGCGGAGGATAGTGGTAGGGGTGATCAGTGATGAGGAGGGTGAGGAGGGAGCTGGGTGGAGGAGGGGTCGGAGGCTGCTGCTGCTGTTGAGGAAGAGGAGGTGGAGGAGGAGGCGGAGGAGGAGGTGGAGGAGGAGTAGGAGGGGGAGAAAGAGGCGGAGGAGGAGCAGGAGTAGGATGGATTATTTTAGATGATGGGTAGTAGCAGGTTGGATGGAGCAACATGGCGGAGTGGGAGGAAGAGGATGAGGAGGAGGCTGAGAGAGATCTTGACGATGGTGATGGCGATGGTGCTGGTGCTGGTGATGGTGATGGCGGTGAGGACGATGATGCTGATACTGATGATGATGTTGATGATGATGATGATGCTGATGATGATGATGGTTGCTGATGATGATGATGATGATGATGATGACGATGACGATGATGATGATGATGATGATGATGATGATGATGATGATGATGATGATGATGATGATGATGATGATGATGACCATGATGGTGATGATGCTGATGATGATGATTCTGATTCTGATGCTGATGCTGCTGCGGATGCTGCTGATTATGCTGCTTATGATGATGCTGATGCTGATGATGATGCTGCTGATGATGATGCTGCTGATGATGATGCTGATGCTGCTGCTGCTGTTGATGATGATGATGATGATGATGATGATGATGATGATGATGATGATGATGATGATGCTAGTATTGTGGTGGTGGTGGTAAGGAAGAGGAGGAGAAGGACGGGGAGTTGGATGAGGAGGAGGAAGAGGAGGAGGTCTTTGTTCTTCTCTCTGGCGTTGAGCATCTCTGCTGCAGGCCTGACGCCTGAATCCTGCCCCGCTTCTGCTGCACTCCGGCTTCCGCACGACTTCGCCACCCGCCGCCCACCCAGCGCACCACCGACCCTCCCCAAAGGGGGCGTTTCGCACATCAGGTGCGGATTGGCAGAGGTCATGCGCCGTCAGAGATGCTGGGCGCGAAGCATGTGAAGCGTCGCGGATGTCCTAGGATTCCTTGTCGAGCGGCGTCGCGGCCGAGAACGTGAAGATCTACAATCAAAAGACGTAGGGATGGAGGAAGCGTTTTGCTACCTGGAGAACGGATTTGCACAAGCTGATGACGCCGCTCTTCAGACCGACGGCACCAGCAGCGCCGTTCGGCCCGAAGGAGACACACGGGACTTGGCAGGCGCAGTGGTGTCCACCGGATCATCGTGAGAAAGCAGAAGAGCATGTGCGCAGATGGAGTCAGTATGAAGCTAACATTCAATTCCCACAATCAACGTATGTCCAGGCATGGGTATCGACCGTGCAGGCAATTCGTCAAGTTCTAGCCAAGGCCAGCAGCTCGGCAGGGTTTGACGGATGGGAGGCCACCGAGATCAAAACAATTTTCAAGTTATTCCCAGAGTTGGTGCCGGATCTGTACGAAGTCTGGGCATCTACGTCTCAATGCATTGCAGGGCAAGGGTGGAGTGCCACGAGAAGTCCGCGATCCGATTTTTCCTTGGAGGGTTGGTGGGAATTCCGAAGGGAGAGTCAGACATGCGCCCAATCTCCGATGGTTTCCATTTTGGTCAGATGCTGGCTCAGTGCGCTGGCGTTGGCCATTCCGCAGCCGCGTGAGCAGCTGTGGGCAGGGAAGCGAAGTGTCAGTTTGGTGCGCGCGATCTCAAAGTGGATGGTGGAGGTTTCGCACTCGGACGCAGGTGCTGAGCTGGATCTCGCGGGCGTAAGGTTACATCGATCAGCAAAGTGGTGAAGCAGCTCTCCTGGCTTGTGCTACTCCCGGCGCGGTGGTCTACGCTGCGGTGGCGCCTTGGGCAGGGCCTCGAACGTTGAGCGGTGGTGGGCATTATGCGTCGCCAATGTATCCAGCCACGGGCCGCCCTCAGGGGGGTTCAGCGGCGCCGGCGGGCGTGGCCGCAGTCCTCGCGCCCTGGCAGCCAAGCGGCGGCCGGGCGTGCATGGGCCACCGTTCCAGGACGACTTCAGCATGGCGAAGACGTTTGACAGGGAGTGCGGTATCGTGGAGACTGCTTCGAAACGTCAGTTGTTGAGTGCAGAAGATGATCCACCGGCAATTTTTGAACACCTTGGGATCAAGGCGAGACCGACGGATGCAGAGTACCCCGTTTTTCCACGGCATGAGTGGGCAAAAATGTATCAAGCAGTTGAGACACTCGGATCAATCCCAGGTAATCCCAGGTGGATCGGATTTGACAGGGGGGCTTTGCAGTCAGCTATATCAGACCGTTGTGGTA